TTGGTGAAACTGACTAGCATTTTAAAGGATGTGTCATTCCTTTGGCGAAAATGTTAGTTGGCGTCAGAAGGTGAACAGCAAAACTAGGCTAGGATACAGGAAATACCTTTAACCCTTGGAATGCAAAGAAGCCAGGTTAAAAACGAGAACCTGTCAGATCCTACTGCATCCTCGAAGATTGCGAACTTCCGTGGTATGACACTTCCACCAACTCCGGAATATCTTGAAAACGCAAACTTCGCCCCAAATCAGGCAGGATTCTGGACCGGATATTCCTGCCGTGACTATATTTTCACACCTCATAAGTTGACGACTCTAGCTGTCCTTGTTTGAAGATTTTCTTGACCTTGCATTTGCATTTCATTCGATGCATCATTTCCATTGTGGACGAGATGCTTGCAGAAATTATGCACGCTGTTACGACGAAAGAGAGTTTGCGTGGTTTCGAACTATGGAGATCGTTAATGGTCTGATTTCACGCTTGCTATTCAAGACTGACCTCGACCTTGTCATAACAGTGTTGAATCTAACAAACATGAGAATCGTTTTAAAGAGAAGACATCTCTGGTAGATATATTGCTGAACCAAGAGTAAGCAGATAATATGGATCTGGTGAGTAGCATTTGCAGTGTTTCGTCACTTATTGAATTCCGCATCCAATACAACCGTGGAAGGCAGTCTCATCATATGACGGCCTGAAGTAAAAAGTTATGAAGAAAATAGCCGGGAACAGATGATCGACGGATGCAATATGCAGATGAAACTCTGCAGGAGGCTGACAAATTTAAGTACGGATCCATCGTCTCCAACGAGGGCACCATTCAATGAGGGTTATACTGGAATGTGGCTTTAACACGTTGTGCTTTCGGCTTCCAGTATTTGGGCTCAGAAAGGAATAAACATTTGTATAAAAATCCTCCTGTACTTTGAAGCAATGGTTCAGTTAGTGCTGTTTTACGGTATGGAGACTGCTGTAATGAAGAAGCGTGTGCGGAAGCCGAAACAAGGCAGAGGTCGACCAGGAGGCCAGCATGCAACATGGAGGAAACAAGGTTGGGGCAGATCCGCTTTCAGAGGAATAGTTACGTCTACGACGCTGTACGCGGCACCTTATTATAGCAACAGCGTTAAAAATCTGTGAACACCGCGGACATCATGAACCAGCGATGTTCTGCTTATGCAAACGGCACAAGGTAATGATCTCAACCAAAACAAAATCCGTAAACAAAATACAAAGTCCGAACCAAAAGAACCTGACGAACCTAAGGACAACGACAGTCATTTACCCATGTCGTTCACTCTTACATACTATTGTTATTGCAATAATTTAAAGCAGATTACATTATAAGAATATAAAGCAAAAACACGACGTCCAAAATAACCATAGAAAAAGATTATAGAGTGAAACGGCTGCGCCATCTAAAGAGCTAACGTTTTGTTCAAAAGGTGGCAGATGTTTAGCGAAAAATGTTGAATGGCGTCTACTGAAATTAGAGATAAATCTAAAAACTCCATGGTGATGATGACGTCACGAAAATTAAGATCGTGAAGACTAATCTCATTGTCATTGGTTATGGTAATTCCGAAAGTGACGATCACGACGAGGTGATGCGATGAGTCGGTGATGATGATGGAAGTGGCAAGAGCGTAGAGAAAATTATACTACGACAAGGGCCGCAACATCTGCGTTAACAAAGGTGGTATCTTCACCTTTTATACCTTCACATTTTTTTCACTCGAAAAATAAGCAGATCAAACCTAAAACACGTTCCCTATTATTGCTGAGCAGTAAGAAACGAAATATCAGAGTCACACAGTCGCACAAACGGGTAACAGGTACATCGACAGACGTGCGGAATTTCGAACGAACTCGGATTAAAATTTGAACATCGAATGGTACAGAATGATCATTCTTAACGACGTGTCCACGATGATGCCCGAAGAGGAACGCTCCTAATTTGAAGTCTGCGTTTCAGAAAGTCTGGTACGGCAGAACTTGAAAAAAAAAACTAGTCGATAGTCAGCCTAGGGATGAATTAATGTTTCCCTACGATCTCTCACAAGTGACTGGCTTCATAAGCAGGTTTTGAACGAACTAAGCTTTTCAAACTGATGAAAGTGAAGCCGATCCCCATTTTAGAAGTTTTGTTTCAATATTCAGGGACAACATTCTGAAGGCAAATCTTTCAAAAAATGCTTATTTTTAAGTAACAGGTATCTAATAAAAAAACCTTACAAGAGATAAATACAGTAAATAAATCTTTTGAAAGAATTTTGTTAAAGGCAAACATTTGCCTTTAAAAATGAACATCTGTTTTCAAGATTTACCACAAGAAAACAATTTTAAGGAGGAATATTAACCGGGATAAATCGAACCTCATCTTCTTGAAGGCCTGCCGTAAGGTCAACAGTCCGTTAACCTGCAGGAAGCGTTTCTTTCGGCAACTTTCGTCCATTTCTTAAAATTCGAATACCGGTCACGTTAAAGAACACCGCTGAGTGACGTTTGACTGCAACAATGATCGTCAATACAGGTGTTACAATTCAGCATAAATAATTAATCGCTTGAAACAAAACGACACATAAGCGCATGGTCTACTGATTAAACATATTTGTCTGAAGCGTGGGAAAATTGGGACGAAGGTTCTTCTGGAATGACAGTCGTTGTTTTTGACCGCTGGAATATTCATCCGCAGCCGGTTCATAAACTAAACGACCGTGGTTTGCGATATCCGCCGTATTTTCGGCATTTTAAACATTTCTCATTGCTATAAGGAATCAACTACAGTAAGAATAAAGGAGCAGTTCCCTTCTCCGAATGCAAATGCGCTTCTTCTATTTACATACAAGTTGGAAGTTGCCTTAACGGCCGACTTCTGTTATGCTTCAAATTCTAACCGAGAAGTCCGTGAGCTGCAGACGAGCCCCTTCAGCAAGTTAAATGCAACCATTATCATCTACATTCCATACGTATCTTAATTTCGAGGTAAGCTGCAAAATACCGGGAATATGAAGAGCCAAAAAGTGAACGCAAAATACTAGAGACGTTGTTCAACTTAAATATTAGGAGAAAGCGGCTACGGCATTTTTACAGACGTTAGTTTGTTTTTAATATGCTTTTGTGGCCCAAAGTTATGAATAAACTAAATCAGCACCAATTAAATCAGAAGCAAGCATATTTCGCTGAATTGGCAATTATTTTATCAACAGAGAACAATGTGTGGCTAATGCGTTTTTATAGTCGTCCTCAAAACAATCACTCACACATCCGCATTATCATCTCGCCTTTTCATTTTCTACACTGGCAGCTTAAGGCTCATCATTTCACTGTGCTTTCTGAAGTTTGCAGGCAACACAATAATAACTACAATTATGAGACACCAAAATGATCTTTTCAGCTCTGTTAGAAGTTTGCCTGACACGCTGCGCAGCTCATTCCCGAAAAATATCAAGAAATGTGCCACTTGAATAAGAATAGCAAAGCTACAGCTGCTGTACTTATGTGACATACATTCAAAAATTGATTATGCAAAATTTGTCGTGTATAAACTCCACGATATATATCGGGATCACTGGATCTCAAGATATGTCTTGGCCTGATAAACGAAGGAAGAGTGTTTGCTATCATATCCGTTTGAGGCATGTGGAAGTTCCGAATTTCACTGTGCACTTTTTCACCAAACTGTTCGTTCTTCCATTTTTTATCTAGCGTCCCCAATCTTCTTTCCTGGACATCTCAAAACTGATCTTCGCGTTCCGCGTCGGATTCTCAAACTGACAGCACGCAAAAGAACGTGTACAACGCATCCTAAACGCTTGTCTATCACTGGGCACCGGTATTCTCTCCAACATCGTCAATCAATCGCCTCACCCGGCTCTGTCGTCTCGCATATCCGTATATCTCGGCACAAGTTCAAAAATAGTTAATATCTACATTTAGACGGTACTGAGAAGAAATTCAGTCGCTCTACCCTAGCTCACCTAGTGAAGGACAATTCGTCGCTTGCTGAGAGATGGTGTAAACAGCTAGTTAATTTGCCTACCAATTAGCGTGCGTACGCTTTTCGTTATTTTGATGTTGTTGTTCTTTTCTACCGAAAAAAATATGGCAATGTTACGTACATCCAAACAGTAAAATGCAGTCACTCATTGATTAAAGCGTCCGATTCCGAAAAAGTCCTGCGGCCAATTAGACATATGTACACAACTCCGAAAGTTAAAAACAAACTCTCCACAGATCTTTAGAAAAAACAGTTCGTCTTCACCTGTTGGTAATAATGCGGCGGCATCTGCACCGGCTGACCATCACTATTCTGCATAAGAACAGTCGGCTGACCGTTCTGATGGTAGAACATCGCGTAGTCAGACGACGCGGCAGCAGCGGCGGCAGCGTCCACCTGTTGCTGTGATACCGCCTCAGTGACGTAGTTCTTCTGATGAACGGCTGTGCCGTCCATCGTTTGCCTTTGCTCCATTCCGCTTCACGACGTGATCGTCGTCATTGGCACCGAAGAATAGAAAAGAAAGGAACGTAGAAACGAAAGCTAGCAAGTACAGTACTCTACGCGTTATGACAACGAAGCTATATATGATCTGCAGGTACAGACCGGAATATTGATTCGTTGCGCCCCGTGTTGTGTACTACGTCGGCGCTTTCAGTTTTCCAAAATTTATTCCATCCTGTTCGGCAGGGACAATTTTTTGCCAGCATAAAGTTAAATTTGAATTTCTTAGACATCGAACTCGTGATTTAAAACCTTTTCATCAGTTCTGAAATTTGCTCTGAAAGTTTACATTTCAGACCTGGTCGTATTACGAACTTGCGACATATTCCATTTTTGACGTGTTTATCCCGGCTGTTCTTAGCGCCAATACTCCTGTGCAGCGGTTCATTCGTATAGCACTTTGGGCTGTAATCGTTTACTGTGAGTTGACTTACATCTGCGTAGAATCACGGTAGACAATGTGCGGATGTAGTTGGATTTTCTCCGCCGATAACTATGGCTGAGGATGCAAACGAGGACCAGCGCGAAAATGCGCCATCGCCAGGTTTTACACAGTCCTTTGTTTCGTTTTACCGACCGAGCGATTCAGATTTTTTGAATGACCAAGAGCTGAACACCGGTGCCGTCGTCGTTTCGCTTGAAAACGGTGTTGTTATGGGAAACGAGGAAAGCTACGAGGAGTTAAATGCCGACGACGACGTACCGCCAGAAATTACCTTCGACCGCAATCTTCCCGCCTCTCACGCGGTAAGTCAGTTTCTGGTCCGATTATTTTTGTCCTGCTCTACAGTTCCAATTTTATACCTTCGCTGTGGTGGCTGCTTTTGGACAGCTGTTGCTTCTCAGACCCTGAAAATTTTAGACCTGCGTGATCTTGCACTTGAATAGCTTGTTTTTTATTGTTAAGGAAAACCATCTATTTTAGCTATTAATTGCATATATGCATTTCAGTGATTAAGCGTGAAAACGAAAAAGACAGCATCTGCAGCTGCACAAGCTAAAAAACATGGAAGCAACCCTGATTGAGCCAGACTTCGCGAAGAAGAATATGACCTTTGCCGCTGTAATGACTGTTGCCTAATATCACACATCATGAATCTGTTTGAGATCTGCAGGCCATTGATGACTGTGACAAAACAATAACCGAAAATGTGAACGTCGGTGCAGGGGAATGTAATTTCTTTAGAATTCGAATTGCATGCTATGCCGGTTTTTAGTCTGCTCTGAGGTGGGTCAAAGCGAATTGCAGTCATATCTAAGGCGCAATTCATATCAGATAGCATAGCCGTTAAGTCTCGCATGCTCTGCTATGAGCAATCCAGGCTGCCTTGCTGTCAATATTGTTCTTAGGTCAACGACTGGTCACCCGTTTCTCGGGCGGCTATACCGAAAGACAGTGTGGTGAATTTCTTGCCGAACGAAGTTAGTAGTACTCGCACGTGGCTGATCTAAAGTGCAACGCCGCAATATTACAATCACTCTGCGAATACCCCATCTCACACACTCCACTCTAGCTCTGCACATTAGAAATGCTAGTTTCGAATTGAGCCGTAACGTCATATCTTGTTATGAACTGCAAATTTCCTTGAGAGTTTCAAAAACTTTACAGAAAATCGTTGTACGGATGCTAATTCTTCGTGGTAATCTTCCACGGATTTACTCCGTACTATAATTCGACGTTTTGAGTCCAGTCCTTAAGGAACTTCAGTTATGACTATATTCGCTGACTCTGTTTACTGATTTTTTCGTTGTAAAATTTTGTCGATTGACCCTTTAGGATTGATCAAGTATGACTCGAAACGTCACGCAGTCGGTACAAAGAGCTCTGGTTTGCTAAATGAGCCATTTGAAGAAAACCTGTGATGATATTACTTAAGCAAAGAGTTCGCTCTAGTTTGCATCTTTACAGCCAGTCGACAAACGAGTGACACCTCGCTGACCTTTGAATAACGGGATGTAATAGTTTTCTAGTAACGCCATATCAGAGCCTATGAGATTTACAGCATTTCCTCTTGTTCGACATGGTACTGGACTAAAAGTCAGTACGAAGTATGTACGGTAAATTTAAAAGTATATGAAGGTTACTGTTCTACTGATTTAAAAATGCTACTGATGTGAACACTCACCATTTTTCTTCATATAGTCGGGAGCCGTATCGCAAGAAGAAGCGAGAACATCGCACAATGCGCAGACAGTTGTTCCAGAAAAGCTATATTCTCATTCTTTTCACAGGGAGTGGCCAATGAACAAAGTAGCGAATTGCTCGGCGATATGAAATATAGTGAGGCTTATATCCCCATTTAGCCACTAGAAAGTCTGTCTTTAACCGGAAACGCTGGACTAACGACTCTCCAGCAAACCATTACAAAATTCTGACTGGTGATCATAAACACCCGGAGGTTAGGAAGTAACTGCCACTCTCAGCCAGTGGGAAAATGACCTCTCCTCGGTGTATGCCAACAGTTTCATCTGATTGATAAGTATACACCTGTTCACGTTGGACTTTCCTGACTGCTCTACCGCGCTTTGCGTGTTTGGTATTGCAGGAAGACAGAGTGTCAAAGGAAAGCCAACCAGAACCAACCTAAAAAATATCAACTCAGATATGCATCAAGATTATTGCGATTGACTCGCCAAAGCGGTGGCTCGAGGACGTTCTTCTGACTGTCGCGGCGGCGTTCGACTACGCACACATGATGTCAGGGCAGTAAATAAATATATATATTTATAGTTTCGATCAATAACGAATAATATATCGGAAACATCGACAAGACATAAAAATATACAGCAGAAGAAGGAGTAAATAACTGATAAAAAAAATAAATGGTATGCAAACAAAACAGTGTCGCAGTGAGCGAAGTCAAATGGCTCTATTTAATGATCTTTGAATCTCTGAGAATCCCTATCGAAGGAGGTTTAAGTGAGTTCTAAACGGTATGGTTAAGTCTTGATCTCGAGGTCGTGCGGTGGGGCAACCGCTTATAAAGGCTATCTTGTTTGACTAAAATGTTTTTTTTTCCAGGATGTTGATCCCCAAGTGAACAGTCATAACTTTTGATGCCAGGTGGTTTTAGCACTATGTTCGGAACCGTAACATAAATCGCTAGCATATCAGAATGAAGCCATAGACTTGCAGTCCATATAAAACAATAGCAGGGCATAATCGTACACTATCCAAGTACACAAATAGATGAAGTTTTTCAGTTTCTTGTGGAACAGCTTTGGAAAGTTTTTAACCACTTAACTTACAGCGTTCCTAGGTGAAAACGAACTATCAGTGAATAAACTTGTTCTTGCCTGGTAATATTCATGACTGATTGCCTTTCAGTACCTCGGTAACGATTTGGAAGATGTGGGCGGCGGCCAAGCGTTGTACGAACCTGATTCCGTGCTGTCGAATGTCCCTTTATATCCATTGACCGGCTTTATCCTGATGCCCCATCAGAATTTGCCTCTGCAGTCGATACACATTCGAATGGTTTCCGTACTTCGAAGTATCATCGCTAGGAGTCAAACTTTTGGCGTCGTGAGCATGCGGTAAGATGCGCATCATGTAAAACGTTAATGTTTTGTTTGAATTCACGATACAGAACAGGAGCACAGAAGTTTCTATGCCCAAGCTGCTTTCTGTTCCTTAAGTTTCTGGGTCTTGAGATGTCTTAGTCAGCTAGACAGTAGGTTTGAATACTAGGTTGAGTCCGGACGCAGATCCAATACGTCGCAGCTCTTCACTGATTTGTCGAACATATAGCAAGGTCATATAAGTTTTGTTATCAGGTGAGCTGCAAGAGGCCCTTTGTTTTGATAAACTTGCCAAGCCTTCGTTAAAAGTCTTCATTGTATAGCTATTATTCGTGGTTCTGTTTGAATACGCGAAACTTGTGGCACGGATGTAGAAAGGAAGACAGAGCACATTAGGAATCTCATCAGGTGGAAAAACGCTAATGCTAGAGAAAGGGGTCAACAGCAAATCGGTAGAGGTCGGAGACAGCGAAAAACCCTGAACGTAAAAAGGCAAAATGCGAGAAAAATTCTGCCCTTGTGGAACCATGCTGTTACCGACCAACAAAACAAATTCTGGAACAGAATGAAAGGTGTCGCGCAAACACTACAGTATCGTTCCTGCAAAGTCAAGCAGCGTTATTGATGCGCGCAACTAACCCTATCAGTCGTGACTTTCGAACAGACGTCAGCGGCACATAGACCGCAAACATCAGGCGGTCGCTGAAGTGCAAAATGCAAGCGCGGCACCATTAATCATGCGGGTCAACCAGTCCCGCATGAAAACGTTTCCTGTCTTTCTCATTGTGATCTGAAAACGGTCCGAGCTTGGTCCAAAACGTAGGATGTCTTTAATTAAAGAACATTTTATGCATTCTCTTCCCAAGATAGTAACCTGTCGGGCGATAGACCTATCCCAAAGTTTTCATCTGTTTCGCACACCTTCTCCGCGGCAAATCTGGAAGGAAAGTTTTGTTTTTGTTGGGTCAGGGGACAGCAGCCAGTTGATATTCAGCCAAGGGATTCAATGCAACCTCGCTAGAGGATTTACCTTGGAGAATATTCCTGATGCTGGCTCAGATATCACGGCCAATCGATTACCGGGTAGACCATTGTGTTGCGTTGTGTACAGAAATTTTGTGCTGTTTTTTCCAAAGTACTGCCAAATGTACTTTCATCATTTAAAGATAAATGGCGATTGGGTGCTTCTTAGAGTTCTCACGGCATAAACTCATTTAATAGGTTGTTCTTCTTTGTTCCATTCCCTAATGATGTACCAACGTCGATAAGGATCCGTGTCCAGTGTCAAGACTTAATCTTCCATGACCATTTCTCCTTTCGAGTAGCTGAGGCAGATGCTTCAGACAGTGCTTCTAATATTACCGATCCTATGCCAAAGTCTGAGCTTCAGCAGAAGACAACTGGAGTCTGGAACATACTCCTTCCATATATTTGCACCAGGTTATTGCTGGCCGTCATCTGGGACGTACTCTTCGGCTGGGCAAGAAACAGTTGCTTAGCCTTCGTTTATGGAGGCATTCGCAACACGTCCGAACCATCTCAGCTGCAACTTTTCAATCTGAAGA